CGCGCCGCGAGCCGCGGCGTACGGTAAAATGGCGGCGGCCCCGAAAAATTACAGCCGGTCCTATCGCGGGACCGGGGACGCCGCTGCGATGGTTGCGGTTTGGCGATGTTTCAACCGGCAAGAAGCTCGTCGGCCGCGGAACCGAGAGCCATGGATACGGAGCCGCCACGGATGGTCGCGGACCAGGATAAAGCGTCGATGACGCGACGCGGCTGGCTCGGCCGGTCGAACGGATAAAACAGGACGGAAAAGAAACAGCGGAGGCGGCGGTGGAACGGAGGACGGAGGGCCGGAGCACTCTCGGGGGTTTGGAGGCTTCGAAGCTTCGGGGCTTCGAGGCTTCGGAGGACACCGGGTTTCGAAAAGAGCCGGCGAAGGGATGGAGAGGAAAGAGAGAAAAGGAAAGAAGATGACGGAGAGTGGGAGAGAAAGAGAAAAAGATAGAGAAAGAAAGAGAGACAGAGAGAGAGAGAGAGAGAGGGGCGGGCTAGGTCTGGGTTAGCGGCCGGAGGCAGGAGCAGGAGGCAGGAGGCTATATCTACGCGTCCTCGACCGCAGGCCTGTTTTATTTTATGAATCGCAATATTTCACGCGACAACTGGACTCGCGGGGCGGTCACCGCTAAACTGTCTGCATACGGGGCCGTGCTTACCGCGTGCCACCATACCAAAACCATACCACACCGCGTCCACGTACCATCGCTACCAACCACCATTGCCGCCGCACCGTACGAAGAAAACCCACGGCCGGTCTGTACGCGCGTACGTACGTACATATATAGGTTCGACCACACGGCAGCTCCCGCGACACAATGCGCGCACAACGGAGACACCTCACTAATACATTTCGATGCGACGAATGCGGTGCAACAGCGTCGCATTGTTCCTCGGGGGGGCATGCAGAAATCTTTCCTCCTCCTCGTTTCCCCTCGACGCGTAGCGGCCGAGCGGCCGAACGGCCGGCCCGGTCCGATGCGGTCCGGCCCGGCACGGCCCGGCCCGGCCCGACTCGACTCGGCCCGACCGCCGTTTTGCTCTCGGTAGCGCAAACAATCCCCCGCGGGATTCCCCGCTGGCCGATCGGCCTCTCCGAGGCGAGCCACGGTTCCGGCTGCGTGCTGCTGCGTCGGGCTACGGGCTACCGCGGGCTCCCCCGATGTTTAAGGGTGCTCGCGGGGTGATCCGTAAAGACGACACCGTGCCTCATTAGCCGCGGCGACGGAGGTGAGAGAAAACGATGCACGCGGCTCGCGGAGACAATGGTGGGCCGGAGAGACGCGACTCGACGCGATGCGACGAGCGACTCGCCTCGGTCCGCCTCGGGCTCGCGAAAATTTACGGTGATCGGAGATTTATGCGCCGTTTCGATCCGAACACGCCTCGCGGTCGAATTAATTGCGCGACGTCGCGCCGCGTACGGCGTTGCTCGCGTCGCGCGTCGTTATCTCGAATCCGGTAGCTCCGTGGTAGCTCCGAAGCTTCGAGTCACGGAGAACACGGGTCCGCGCGGGCCTTACGGGGGCCCCCGCGCACGCCGTCGACGCTCGATCAAACGGCCGATCGCCGCTCGTTCCGATTTTTCCGGACGTCGGCAGACGACGGGGGAGGAGGAGAGGAGAGGGTGCCGGAAAAGAGCGCGTCGCGGCGCCTTGGCCGCGCAACAGAGGCAGAAGCGCGGCGCGGATCGACCGAACGTCAGCGGGTGGCAAAGTTACGCCAATCTCGCCCGGTATGCCTATCTTTGCGCCGTTTACCTGACCAGCCACGAAGGAGGCGGACGCGCCATTACTGCTATGGAAGATAAAAGATAGGCGCGCGCCACGCCGCGGTCCATATATGTAAATACCTCTGGGGAACTCGCGTACACGTCGCCGGGCAGGAACGAGAGGGTTGCCGGTGAGTAGAACGCTGCGAGGGACCGCTCGACCCGCTCCGGCCCGCGCGGCCCGCTCTCGGCTCCGGCCGATCCGAGGACGGGAACAAGAGGCGAAGGGCAGAGGGGTGAAACGAACGAAACGTACGGTCAGTAGCTCGCGTATGTAACATACTATCTTGAATATGCGCATACATCGAGAATTGCCCGCGCTTATTCTGAGAATTGGTTAGGCGATCGAATACGCGGGAGCTGCCCGTCTTCTCGTAATTACCTCTCTTTTCTCTCCTTCCATCCTTCCGTCCTTCCGTTCTCCAGCCCCCTCCCCCCCTTCCCACCGCCTGTTTTCTTTTCTCTCCGTTCCGTCGGTTTCTTCTTTTTTTCGACGAGTCCTGCACGCGTTCCCTACCATTCCGCGATCGTTTATTCACGTTCGTTGCCACCCGTTTACGCCTTCGTCCCCTTCGCCGTTTTCGCTCCGTCGGGAATTCGGGAGGGCGCGGGGCGAGGGCGAGAAAATGGAAGCGGAATGGAAACGCGGGAGACGCGAGAATAAGCGGAACGGAGCGGAAAAATGTGGAAAACGCCGGGCGGCCATCGCGTCGTCGTCGCCGTCGCCGCAGCTCGGCTTGCTCGGGTTAATCGGTGCGGATAGGTGGCCGGTTTCCGTAAAAGTGGAAAAGTTTGTAAAACGTTTCGTTCCGTAACGTGTTCGTCAGCTCGCGGAAACGGGGCCAAGTTCCTGGGATGCGACATCGCCGACAACTGGCGCCCCGGCCTCGCTCCCGGTCCGGTCCGCCGTTTCCGACGAAAATTGAGCCGGAGAAAGTCCTAATCGAGCTTTGCCCACCGGAAGTTTTAACTGCCTGCGGTCGAAAGATGACGCAGAGAGAGTTCCAGGTATATGAGCCGCCGCGAAATCCTCCGAACCCGGGTACGACGTCGCCCGAAACTCGGCGAGAGAACGAACGTGGTAACGAAGGCAGACAACGACGACGACGCGGAGACTCCCCGATTAATCTCGGCGAAAACGCGGTCGTCGTGTAATTCCCGCCGGTTTTTGCATCGGGAGGTTATCATCCGTGGGTCCCCGCGCGAAGGGGATCGCGGAGGAGCGGCGGAGCCGGCGATGGTAGGAGCCCTAATCCTTCGAAACGGTCGGCGATCGCGACATTAAGCGAAAACCCTCGCCGTTTCGGAGCGGCCATCCGGCCTCGAAGAGTCCGGTAGTCGGACGTGGAATAGGTAGCGTTACAGAGTGTAATGCGTGTACGAGACGGGCAGCACGAGTGTCGGGAACGCCGTAGAATGGGCCGAGCGAGCTTGGCGAAGGGGTCGGCGGGGTCCGAGGGGGGGACCGAGAGAGCGAACAGGGCGAAAAAGGACGAGAAAATCGAGCCGAGCGGGACGAGGCGGGCCGGGCGGGCATAGGTGTTAACATTTGCTTTATAGCGATCGCTCTACACCCAACCAATGGTTTAATACTTGGGTCGACACGCGAGAGAAACGGCGTGCTGTGGCGCCTAGTTGCGGGCACCCACGTACGCTCCCTCTGCTCGAGCGCGTTCTCGCTCCGCATCGGAGAGCCACGGAATACGTATTTCCGTGGCTCGTTTCGAGCATCCGTTCAACGTTTCAGCGGTCGGCGACGCCGTTTCGCCGTTTCGCCCGTCTCCTTGCTGCGGCTCCTGAAATCCTTCGTGCCCCGCGCAGCCTAAACTATGCAACGCTTCTTCGGGTTAGTTCGCCCCCCACGGGAACACGAGCCTGTCTCCGTGCCGCGCGGAATCGAATCGTATCGAGTCGAATCGGCTCCCATCGAATCGCCGTACGTACCGGCGAGATTCTTTTTCGCGAAACCTACCAACGACTGGCCTGGTCGCGCCAGTAATTTCAGTAGTATATCGAAGCATTAGCGCCGGCCGGCAGGATTCTATTTACATACGTTGGTATTAGAGACTCGTGGAACGTGCACTTGCAGGGACCATAATGCAGGCCCGTTAAATACTAGAATGACCCGTGGGGCTTACGGGCCGCTATGAGATGTTAATACGAGCCGGTGGCAAAGAGCGAAGTCGCTTCCTCCTAGCTTCTCCGTCTACCCTCGTCCCTCTATCGCCCACGCCATGCCTCTCTCTCTCTCTCTCTCCCTCTCTCTTGCTCTACCCGTTTCTTCCCTTCGAGTTTCTCCGTTCTATGCGTACGCTTTCCTCTCGCGCGAGAATCGTACCTACCGACCGTCTCGTCTCTCCTCTTTTTGGTCTCCTCCCCCCTCCTCGGCCGGACCACGGATACGGTCTTTTATTTTATAGTTATGCAGCGAGGACACTTTTACTACGACCGCGCGAACGTTTCGTGGTTTCTGGCCGCAACGCCGGCTTTTATTGTCCTACGGTTTTTATCCTGGAAACGCGCGCGTCTTTCCTGCAAAAGACCGGGGGGATCCACGCGTCCGCGTCGATAACGGCGAACGGCAAACGTCGAACGGCGAAGGCGGGTCTCTCTCTCTCTCTCTCTCTCTCTCTCTCTCTCTCTGGTATTTCTATCGGCGACTCGGCGAGGTACGCGTCGCGCAACGACGCTGGGTTACTGGTTAGGAATATTTATGGCACGCGCCGCCGTTAACGCGCGCTCTCTCGTAGCTGGCAACTCGAGGAAAGATAAACGGGTCCGCGGGAGCCTCGGCGGAAGGCACACGGAAAGATATCCGCGTTTTCTAACGGAAGACGACGCGGTCGCGGGTTCCGTTCGATCCGCGCGCGGATCGATGCGACGTAATTGTATCTAACGGGGAAATCGCATGATAAATACGGCTCCTCTCCGTTCGCGGGATAACGCGCGCGGCAGTTTTCTACGGCGGAGTCCCATTGTCGTCACGAGACACACGATGTACTCGGATACGTCACGCGACGACCCCCGTCCGCCGTGATCCCGCGCACGAAGAACGTGCCCGGGCAATTACTTTTACGCGCCGTTCGCGGCCTGATCGTTTCAATTTATTAATCGGCCGATTATTTCGTTCGGTCGGGCCGCCGCGGGGACGACGATCTCTCCCCGGGATCGTGAACGTTACGCCGGGAATCGGAACGGCGAAACATCGCGAGCGGCATGCTCTCGGTACTACTCACTTCGTGTAGAAAGCGTCGTTGCACTCGGAACAGGCGAAGCCGCGTTTCCTGGACGACTCGTTCGGGCACGCCGACGAGGACGGCGACGGCGACGACGGGCCCGCGCACTCTCGCCGATGAGCGTTCAGGTCCGATCGTCTCGCGAACGACGCCAAACACTTTTCGCAGAGGAACGGACGTTCTCCCGTGTGGCTTCTGATGTGGTTCCGCAACGACACCTTGGCGAACGCTTTCTTGCAGACCGGGCAACGGTATTTCGGCAAGCTCTTCCCCTGGCCGGGTTCCGCCCCGTCGTTATCCTTCCGAACGATCCCGGCGTGAAGTGCCTCGTGAAAGATGAATTCCGCCCGCGAATCCGTTGAGAAACTACAGCTGTCGCATTTCCATTCGTCTTTGACGGCTGCCGTTCTCGCCGCGTTTAATTTGTTATCGTCCCGACAGTTGTTCTCCCTCGTGTGTCTCGTCACGTCTTGCGAGAGGGCAAAAAGCCTGCCGCATTTGGGACATCTGCGGCAAAAACGTGGAAAGCGTGTGGGGACTCGCGCGAGGCTCGTCGCGCGCCCCTTTGATCGAGCACTAGCGATCAAAGTTCGCATCGGGCTTACCTGTGACAAGTCTCCGGATGATCGCGCAGGAGGTGCTCCTTGTGCTCCGACAAATTGGCCTGCCTCTCGCCGCAACGGGAACACTCCCGGGCGGTGCTCGTCGCCGAATCCTGGCCGTGCTTGCGAGCCCTCACGATCTCCTTGTGGCTGGACGTTCGACGGTGCAGCACGGCCTCCTGAGCGGTCGCGAAATTCATCGAGCAGAACGAGCAGTAATAAGGGGTGGCCGCCAGTCGTTGCACCGAGTCCTCCTTGCTCGCGTCGCGTTCTTCTTTCGCGTCAGTCGTCCCAGTGTCGCCGGCTCGTCGAACGTCGGCCCGAACGTCGGCTCGCCCGTCCGTCCGGCCGTCGTGACGAGTCAGCTGGTGACGCTGAAGAGCCACCAGGGACCGAACGATTTGCGGGCACAGATCGCATCTGATCCGTTGCTGATACCGGTCGGTCGCGGTGAAACTCTCCTCGTGACCGGTCTCGTTCGCGTGCAGCCTCAACTGCAAATTATATCGGAATCGGCGATCGCAGCCGGGGCAGGTCAACGCTCGTTGACGACCGATCACCACCGGCACGGATCCGTTCATCATGGACACGACCTCGCGATGGCTCGTGCTGGTCAGATGCCGGTCCATCGCGGCGTTCTCCTCGCACCAGAAGTCGCAGCAGCTGCACTTGTAGTTGCCGCTGATCTGAAACAGTCGGATGACGAGCGGTGGGTGCAGCCGCAGCCGCAGCCGCCGACGCCGCCGCCGCGAACGGAAGCTCGCGCCGATCGAGAGAAACGTACCTGGCCGAGCGTGTCCGCGTGAAGCTCGGATCGCCAATGGAGCAGAAACGTTTCCTCCGTGTTGCAATAAAACCGGCAGGAGGAACACTGGAAAGGACACTGCCGAACCACATTCGCCATATTTTCGAGTAAAAAGCGGCGGGCTCGTGGCCCGCGAGGATTTACGCCCGCGACGCGGCAGTGATAATGAGAGAGCAAATGCTTGCCCATTTGCGCCCTCCTCACCCGAGCGTGGCACATCTCGCAGCTCAGGATCTCCTTTTCCCTCTTCCTCGTGCACTTCTTGACTTCCCTCGCGTCCGCCTTCGTGTCCGCCTTCGTGTCCGCCTGTTCCTTCACTCTCTGTCGGCGTGATCGGATAATTGGGGGAATCGATTAGCGAAACGGCCAACGGACCAACGACACGCGCGAGAGATACACGCCGCTCACCGGGCAGCAGCCGATAATTACTTGGTTGCGGGTCGGGGTCTTTTTGGCGAGGTGTAGTCCGCCGGCACGCGACTGCGGGAAGACACCGTCGATCTCACGGATGCTCCTACGGGCGTGCAAATCGGACAGAAGGTGCCTGTTGTAGACCAATCGGGAGGCCAGCTTCCTGCCGCAAGGACTGCACCAATATCCCGACTCGAAATCCGTCCGCGCTCCCGGCACCCATTTACCTCGCGTGTGCCCTGGCGGCGGCTGACCGGCGTTGCTCTTCGCCTCGTACTCCTCGATCCTCTGGAAACAGCGATCGGAACAGGGATCGAAACAGGGATCGTTTTCGACGAACCGATTGCGTGACGAAGCTGCTGCAACTTCGCTGGTTTACGCCGGCCCAGCGATCGCCGTGCCTTTGATTTACTTTCAGAAATAATTGACTCTCTGTTTATCGAATAAGACTTATTCGATTATTGTTCGATTCTTTCGTGTTGTTTATTGTTGAATAAAAAGATTTAATATGTCTCGTTCGATAAGTGTGAAGTCAATTATGCGGAGCCGTGTATCCCGAGCTGGCCGATTGCTATGCCTTCGGTTCGTCTTCGAACATAATTAGCTTTCTATCTATCGAAAATATGGACATATTCGATTGTTTTATTTATCCTCGATCCTCTGGAAACAGGGATCGTTTTCGACGAACCGATTGCGTGACGAAGCAGCTGCAACTTCGCTGGTTTATGCGGGCCCAGCGATCGTCGTGCCTTTGATTTACTTTCAGAAATAATTGACTCTCTATTTATCGAGTAAGACTTATTCGATTTTTGTTCGATTCTTTCGTGTTGCTTATTCTTGAATAAAAAGATTTCATATGTCTCGTCCGATAAGTATGAAGTCAATTATGCGGAGCCGTGTATCGCGGGCTGACCAATTGCTGTGCCTTTGGTTCGTCTTCGAGCATAATTAGCTTTCTGTCTATCGAAAATATGGACATATTCGATTGTGTCAGTTTTTTGTATTCTCGAATACAAAGATTTAGTATGTCTCGTGTTCGAGAAATATAGAAATAACCCTGCGTTACACAGACCATAACGATTCCCCTGTAACGTGCGTCTTGGGTCTGGAGTTTCTCGAATCTAAGAGGGTTGTCGCTGACATTACCTTTCTTTTTAACGTTTCGAATGCCTTAAAATAAGTTGTTATTAGCTTGTTTCTCCTGCAAAAGCTCTATGCTCCATCAAGAGTAATTAGATTAACTCGGACGTTCAAGCCTTTACCAGATCGGTCAAATTTTCTTTACTCGGATCCTATAACAAGAATTACTACCCTAAAAAATGATTCCTGTACCGTGATTGCTCTTCCTAGTTTTCTTTTTCTAGTTACATATTACAGTAATGTCTCCCTAACTGACGCTCGGATTGTCCACAGAAATAGACAATTTGGGAAGAGAAGATATGATTATTCGAGCCTTGCGGTTCGTTTTCATAGTTACGAATTGTCAAGAAATATAAAAACGAGCCGCAAGGCTCGAATAATCGTATCTCCCCATTTTCGTATCTCCCAAAATTGTCCATTTTTGTGCGCAATCTGAACGTCACTTATATATAGGGAGACATTACTGTACAATCAAACGAGAAATCTGTCGTAACCATCGCACCGATGACTTCTATAATCTACTCCAATGGACTCGTGGCGTTTTTAAGTAAATTAATAAATAAAGTTAATTATGCCGAAGAAGAAACCGAAGGCACAGTAACCGGCACCACTGTCGTACGCACCTGCCGCGTCTGATCCGCGACACACCTACCTGCGAGGTCTCGGTGGGCCGCCATTTTCCGCCGGTGTAAGTCGGCGGGGGATGCTCCTGATGCTCCTGATGCTCCTCGTCCGGCTCCACGTCCTCGTCGTGAAGTTGAGACATATTTTGAGGAAGACCGTCCAATCCGGGTTTCCATTTGCCGCCGGTATGACCGTGCGGCGGACGTTCTCGATCCTCCCCTTCCCCGTCCCCGTCGCCGTCGCAGTCACCGTCAGCGTCCCCGTCGCCGTCACCGTCGCCGTCGACGTCGCCGTCGCCGTCCTCGGACTCCGAATAAGACTCCTCCTCCCCTAAATCTTCCTCCATCGTGTCGTCGGATTCTTCGTCCTGCTGGTATTCGAACTCGTATCTCGGCAGGTCCTTGTTCTCGTTGTTGGCCACCAGCTCGGCGAGTATCGTGTCCTCCAGCCAAGTCTGATGAACTTGCTCGATCCTCTGGGTCTCCTCCTGCCGCTTCCTCTCGGTCTGCTTGCAATTAGACTCGTGAGACGTCATCAGGTCGCTCTCCAAAGAGTGCTCGGGCTCGTGCTTCGCCGGGATCGTCGGGAACGCGGCGGTCTCGATGCCGGTGCCTACGTGGCCCATCGATTGGCTTAATTTGGTCCGGCTGGTCGCGACCACCGTAGGCTTGCCGGCCGCGGAGGAGACGATATCGGGAAAGCCGACCAGCGACGGGATGCAGAGGTGCGCGGTCGGATTGTCGAGCTCCGACACGCCGGGCAGCATACCGTGCAGCTTCTCCTTCGCCGCGGACTCCTCCGCGGCCTCCGTCTGCATCTTCTGGCCTCTCTTTCGTTTCTCATCTTTCTTGAACTTTCGGCTCTCGTCGAGCAACGGCGAGCCTCTGCGAGGGTTCGACTTGCTGCTGCTGCTTCGCAGCTCCAGCGAGCTGAAGAACGCGTCCGCGTTTAGTATTTCGGGGTAGGAGACGGTGGTCGGCGTGGTCGGCGACGCTCGTGCAGCCTCGTTCTTGTCGTCCGGCGGACGACAACCGGACTGCCGGTGCCGGACGTAATTCTCGAGGCCGTGCACCGTCAGGTGACACTTGATGCAAAAGTGCGTGTCGTCGTCGTCCTCGTAGCTCTCCATGGATCAGGCGGAATCGTGCTGATGCCGGTGCCGACCTGCAACGAAACGCATCGCGCGCCGTTCGTGATAGACCCGGTGACGATAGCGCGGCCAAAAGATACGGCNTACACAGACCATAACGATTCCCCTGTAACGTGCGTCTTGGGTCTGGAGTTTCTCGAATCTAAGAGGGTTGTCGCTGACATTACCTTTCTTTTTAACGTTTCGAATGCCTTAAAATAAGTTGTTATTAGCTTGTTTCTCCTGCAAAAGCTCTATGCTCCATCAAGAGTAATTAGATTAACTCGGACGTTCAAGCCTTTACCAGATCGGTCAAATTTTCTTTACTCGGATCCTATAACAAGAATTACTACCCTAAAAAATGATTCCTGTACCGTGATTGCTCTTCCTAGTTTTCTTTTTCTAGTTACATATTACAGTAATGTCTCCCTAACTGACGCTCGGATTGTCCACAGAAATAGACAATTTGGGAAGAGAAGATATGATTATTCGAGCCTTGCGGTTCGTTTTCATAGTTACGAATTGTCAAGAAATATAAAAACGAGCCGCAAGGCTCGAATAATCGTATCTCCCCATTTTCGTATCTCCCAAAATTGTCCATTTTTGTGCGCAATCTGAACGTCACTTATATATAGGGAGACATTACTGTACAATCAAACGAGAAATCTGTCGTAACCATCGCACCGATGACTTCTATAATCTACTCCAATGGACTCGTGGCGTTTTTAAGTAAATTAATAAATAAAGTTAATTATGCCGAAGAAGAAACCGAAGGCACAGTAACCGGCACCACTGTCGTACGCACCTGCCGCGTCTGATCCGCGACACACCTACCTGCGAGGTCTCGGTGGGCCGCCATTTTCCGCCGGTGTAAGTCGGCGGGGGATGCTCCTGATGCTCCTGATGCTCCTCGTCCGGCTCCACGTCCTCGTCGTGAAGTTGAGACATATTTTGAGGAAGACCGTCCAATCCGGGTTTCCATTTGCCGCCGGTATGACCGTGCGGCGGACGTTCTCGATCCTCCCCTTCCCCGTCCCCGTCGCCGTCGCAGTCACCGTCAGCGTCCCCGTCGCCGTCACCGTCGCCGTCGACGTCGCCGTCGCCGTCCTCGGACTCCGAATAAGACTCCTCCTCCCCTAAATCTTCCTCCATCGTGTCGTCGGATTCTTCGTCCTGCTGGTATTCGAACTCGTATCTCGGCAGGTCCTTGTTCTCGTTGTTGGCCACCAGCTCGGCGAGTATCGTGTCCTCCAGCCAAGTCTGATGAACTTGCTCGATCCTCTGGGTCTCCTCCTGCCGCTTCCTCTCGGTCTGCTTGCAATTAGACTCGTGAGACGTCATCAGGTCGCTCTCCAAAGAGTGCTCGGGCTCGTGCTTCGCCGGGATCGTCGGGAACGCGGCGGTCTCGATGCCGGTGCCTACGTGGCCCATCGATTGGCTTAATTTGGTCCGGCTGGTCGCGACCACCGTAGGCTTGCCGGCCGCGGAGGAGACGATATCGGGAAAGCCGACCAGCGACGGGATGCAGAGGTGCGCGGTCGGATTGTCGAGCTCCGACACGCCGGGCAGCATACCGTGCAGCTTCTCCTTCGCCGCGGACTCCTCCGCGGCCTCCGTCTGCATCTTCTGGCCTCTCTTTCGTTTCTCATCTTTCTTGAACTTTCGGCTCTCGTCGAGCAACGGCGAGCCTCTGCGAGGGTTCGACTTGCTGCTGCTGCTTCGCAGCTCCAGCGAGCTGAAGAACGCGTCCGCGTTTAGTATTTCGGGGTAGGAGACGGTGGTCGGCGTGGTCGGCGACGCTCGTGCAGCCTCGTTCTTGTCGTCCGGCGGACGACAACCGGACTGCCGGTGCCGGACGTAATTCTCGAGGCCGTGCACCGTCAGGTGACACTTGATGCAAAAGTGCGTGTCGTCGTCGTCCTCGTAGCTCTCCATGGATCAGGCGGAATCGTGCTGATGCCGGTGCCGACCTGCAACGAAACGCATCGCGCGCCGTTCGTGATAGACCCGGTGACGATAGCGCGGCCAAAAGATACGGCGGAAAGAAGGGAAACGTCCGCGGGGCGTTGCGCGTTTCGACGTTTCGGCTCCGCCGAAATTTCTCTGGCCTTGTTCCGCGTTCCGCGCGCCTCGCATCGGGTCGACGCGAAACTTTCCCCGGGCGAGCTGCCGCCCCGAGGAAACTTTGGCAAAAAGTTGGCCCGGCCGAGGACGAGCCGCGCGGCTTCGCGCGTACGATCGGCGAGAGCGCGAGTCCCGAGGGCCGATCGAGATCGAGAAAGATATATATCGGTCGGTGACGCGCGCGATCGTTCGAAACCACTGTGCGTCTCCGATCCCACGTCTCCCGTCTCCTCGTCTCGCGTCGAGCGAGCCGCACCGGGCAAATTGAAGGTCCGATATTCGCGGAACAGAAGGGAAACAAGTTGACGCTTCGTACGAACTAGGGGTAGGAAGATCGGTCGATGCCGCTTGGCCGTTATTCGGACGACGACACTTCGCCTCCCAGTCCTGGCCGACCCTCCGCCGCCCCCCGTCGGCTGCCGCCACCCGCCACCCTACCGCCCTCCGCCGCTGCCCTCCACCGTCCTCCGCCGTCCTCCACCTTCCTCCACAGTCCTCCACCATCCTCCCCAGCCCGTTACCCACCCCTGCTTACTTCCAACCATCCACCGCCGCCCTCCTCTTCCCCTCCCGCCATCGCCCTCCCGGCCGCCACCTAACCCTCCGCTACCTCCACCCCCGGCCTTGTTGCGCCCTTTCCGTTTCCCCTTTCCGAAGTCTGCGAACCGGCAGCGACCTCGTGGCTCCGTCTCCCTATATACCCTGTCTTGTCTCTCTCCCCTTTCTCTTTATCTTTCTCTCTAGCTCTGTCTCCTTCTTTTTCGCTTTCTCTTTCTCGTTCACGTCCGGATTCTCTCTCTCTCTCTTTCTCTCTCTCGCACATACTCTTTCTCGCTGTCTCTCTCCTCTCTTCTTCGACTGTCTCTCCCTCCCGTCTTATTAAACGGAGAAAACTACCAAATGAGATTTCCATCCGGCTCGAAACACGCTCCTTGCAACCCGATCGCTTAACGCGAGAATCCAGGCGGATCGTTTACTTTTGACGTGACCCGAAAATTTCATTCGCGACCAGAGACGCCGGAACTACCAAATTATCCGGAAGACGCGGCACGAACTCTCGACGAACCGGAGCTCCTCCACGCCCCGGGAGAGAGAAAGAGAGACAGACAGAAAGAGAGAGCGGATCGCGGAGACGATCGCGAGCCCGAAGGAGGCTCGCTCGAAATTTTCGAGCGAACGAGCATCCCCTGTGTTTCGTTCCGGACTCGCCGGGACCGAGCGTACCGTGTCCGACGAGGCGTTTCTGCCGCGAGTCGACGAATATCGGCGGATATCGGCGAAATATCGGCGAATATCGGCGCGTCGCGCGACCAGAGCGTACGCCGAGCGCGCGCGTACTCCGCGAACAAACAAGCGCAGACAGGGCGGAACAAACGCGAGCCAATTAAGCGTAGGACCGGTCGTAGTAAATTAAATATTTGCCAAGTAGGGGCACGCGCTCCGATAACGATATTAATTATATTGTATCGTCTCGTAGGACACGCGTAGATGAAAAAAGAGAGAGAGCGCGCGCGAGAGAGAGAGAAAAGAGAAAACGCGGACAATGGGCAGGAACGATCGGCGAGCTAGAAGAACGGAACTAAATCGAGTGGACAGAGATCCGTCGAGATTTACGAGCGCTTGTCGGAAAAACAAGAAAGCCCGTTAATTGGCTGGCGGTCGTGGACAGAATCGAGACGTCGATACGTCAATATAATATCCAACTGTGACGCATCGCGCCGAGAGCATCCGGCTAACCGATGGTCGCGTTAACGTTGATCGACGATCACCGATGACTAATCCCTTATTACCTCTCCCAGGCGCGGAAAAACCGGAGCGCACCTGCTACCACCAAAGGAGACGCGCCGCTTTCCCTTCGATTCCCGATCGCCGAAGAATAACCAGCCGGGCGAGTTACGGTTTTCGAGTTGCGAGTTCCCGAGTTACCTAGAGTTACGAGTTTACGAGTTTACGAGAGTTACGAGAGATGCGAGACGCGAGGTCACTTTGCGATCTAACCGCGGTTACGAGAGAAGGCAGAGAGAGAGAGAGCGGTGCCGCCGTAGGAGGGGGAGGGGAGGGATGGACGGATACTTGTTGAACGCACGAACTAGACGAATTCCCTCTGTTCCGATGCCGCGCGAGGCTAAATTAACAAGAGGAACCCCGTTCGCAACCGGCGTCGAATCGAGCGAATCGGGCCGAAGCGGCGCCCCGTGCAATTTTCAGCTTGTTCGACGGTGGAAACGAAAAGAACGGAAAAACCATCGGGGCGGTTTTCGCTCGAGTATTCGAATCGATTCGACGCGCTTTCCCATATCGACGCCTTTTCGACGAATCGTCGTAAACGATACACCGGCAGACGCTGCTGCTGCTGCTGCTGCGGCTGGTCCTGGTCCGGCTACGCGAATCAACGGGGACCTGGGTGCTCTCGGAACGGTGCACGAAACATTTTCATCCAGAAACGACAGCCCCGATCGGTGTCGCTAATCCGATCGGAATGGCCGAGGGTTTCGCGTCCCCTTCGTTCCTCCGTATCAACCGCAATTAACGATAATCAGAGCTCTGACCCTCGCGCACAAATTCAACCGATAGACTGACTGCCACCCTTCTTGCTTCGCTTTCCTACCGAATCGACGCGACGCGACGCGGTCGAATCGAAACCCCGGACCGGTTCAATTTTAAAACGGAACGATCTCGTTCGAGCGCGCATCCGATCGTCCTCCGTCTTTCCCCGTCTTCGTTCGAATTAAGACCGTCCTCGGTCCCCGTCGAACGGTGGAGAGACACGGGGATGAGACGAATCCGGACAAATACGACGCGCACGGAACTCTCCGGCTGGCCCGGAGAAAGCATGGACAAGGCAGGCGAGCGAGGTAGGCGAGGTAGGCGAGAATAGGCGAGGTGGCCACCGCGGGCACGAGCGTCCGAGAGACCGAGAGATAGGTACCGTGCGAAGCGGTGGAGGAGTACGGTCTAGAAGGGAGATGGACCGGAGGTAGACGCAGGGGATGCAAGGTCCGGGGAATATTGAGCCGCTCCGTTAATGTTTATAACGACGTTAGACGTTGGTGTCCCCGGTAGCGTGTGTGTAGGTGTGTATAGGTGCTACACAGGATAGCTAGGTGGCTTCGCCTACCCTCTAGCGTACCCTCTGCTTCCTCCCTTCTCACCCTTTACATCCGCATCTCTCATTCCCCCTTATTATCCCTCGCGCTCGGCCTCTCGGTTCGTCCTTTCGTATCTTCTCCTTTTCGTTGTCCGTCTCCGTCCCTCCTACGCCGGGTTCGTGCGACGTGTGTGCAAGCCGTCGCTCCCTCTCGGTCAGTCCCCTTGTTTCCGTGCCTCGTTCTCTTTCCCAGCGGTGGCATACAACGGTAGTGGTAACAACGGTAGCTAGAAGTAGAGGCAACGGCAACGGCAGCGGCGGTAGCGGCGGCAGAGAGGCAGAGGCAGAGAGGCAGAGGCAGAGGCAGAGGCAGAGGCAGAAGCAACGGCAGGACAGGAACTGACATAAGCGCACGAGTGTGTATGTAGAGCACGTACTCGGGGGCTCTCCAGTTCGACGGAGTAGGTGGAGGCGGGTGGTTGGGTGGTCGTGGAGACCTCTCGGTCGAGAGTATGGGTTGTGGGTGGTGAACGGGTGGATATAGCGCGGAGGGTGAGTATGTCGGTGGGTCGAGGAAGAGGAGAAGGGGAGGGCTGCATCCTAGCAATGGGACGAGGGAGCCTCTGTCTAATCGATGCCGCGGCGGTGCGCGCTCGCCCCGCTGGCTATTACGCACCTTAATGTCCTTTTCCCTCGCCTCCTCCCCGCGCCAACCACCCTCGCCTCTTCTCCTCTTCCACCTTCGACGCCGCTATCCCCTCGACTGCTCCGCTGCTCCGCTGCCTCGCTGCCTCGCTGGCGAGCTGGCGAGCTGGCGAGCTGGCGAGCCGGCGAGCTGGCTCGCGCCACCTTCCTCGTCTCGCCTGTCTTTCTTCCGTTTCTCGCTCTCTTTCTTCCCACCGAGGAGCCGACAACCTCTCTCCCTCTCTCTCTCTCTCCAGCTCCTTTCGTCTTTCTCCTTTCTCCTTTCCGGCAGCTTCCTCTCGGCCACGTTTCCCTCTTTCTCCCGCCACCTCGTCCGCTCGAACACCGAGAGGCGGCCATGACACGTGTCAATCTACCGCAGACGCCCGATCGATACCGACGGACCTCGGCTTCTCTCTGCGCTCCTCCACCTCTTTCTTCGCCCTATCGTCGACAACCACCCCATCCTCGTCCACCTAACCACCCCATACCATCGTACCACATCAACCACCCACTCCCCGTTCCCATCCCCGGCCTCCCTTCTCGTTCTCGTTCTCGTCCTCGTCCTCGTCCTCCACCTCCGCCTCATCCTCCTCGTCCTGTTCCTCTTGCCACCCCCTGCAACCCCCTGCAACCCCCCGCGACCCCTTACGACCGCGCTCCGCGCTCCCTATACCGAACCTTCTACGAATGCTGCCGCTGCTATACGCCGCCTGTACGCCGGTATACTTTGCTATACGCATCGACGCGCGAACCCTCGACCCATGCCGCCCCCGCGAGGCCTGCCAACCTCGACGAGAGTATCGCGTCTCTGCTCGCGACAAACGAGATTTCGTTTACCAGCGACTGGCCGATTGCGCGCCGCCAGCCTTCTACGACGATTCTCTCTCTCTTCGTCTACGCTCTTGTTCCGTCCAGCGAGCCGTGTACCGCCCTCTAATACCTCTCCACACTCCGTCAAGTCTCCGACGACGATCGGCAATATCTTTTTTTCATCTAGCGAACAACCGTACGTACCATCCGTCGAAGCGAACGCCTCGAGCTCGTCGGACTCGCTCTTGAAAAACAAACGCG